AACAGTGTCAAACCTATTCCAACAGCTATGACTGTTCTAAAAGGTTGCAAACCTTTTCAGAAATAGTACCAAATTGGCTACAAATATTCCTTCAAATCCTAGAATATTTACTTACGAAATTTTCTGATAGTCTTCTTCTTCTTCTGTACAAAAATTTCGGTGTGTTTTACAGCCTTCGAGTGGTTCGTTGTTCATCTGCATTTTTGGTACCGATAGGCTGGTGAGTTAAATTGTTCTATCCTGGGAGGATATATTCCAGAACCTCGGGTACTTGAGGGTAATAATTTTCTTAAGGACACACTGTGTATTCAGTGTGGTCGATTTGTTCCTATACCGTTTTCAAAATTTATTTTGAAGTTGAAATACTGTTTTCAGAATTTATTTCTACTAACTTTCTGTTTCTGTTTTCAGAAAGATTATTGTTTTATTTATTTACAGCAATACAGATTAATAACAAATTATACCAATATAGAAACTTATACCCTTGGAATTTGGAGGTACAAATTCAGATTGCGGAGTTAGGTGTGTCAAGGACAATTGGTACTGAACTTAGAGTTGGAAGTTCAAAAATTAAGGATACTTGATCCTTATATTAGAGTTACAAGCACAGAAATTAAAGACAGGCAGTCCTTAACTTAGAGTTACAAGCACAGAAATTAAGGACGGGTAGTCCTTAACTTCGAGTTCCAAGTTCAAAAATTAAGGACATGTAGTCCTGAACTTAGAGTTACAAGTTCAAAAGTTAAGGACAGGTAGTCCTAAACTTAGAGTTACAAGTTCAAAAACTAAGGACAAGTAGTCCTTAACTTAGACTTACAAGCTCATAAATTAAGGACAACTAGTCCTGAACTAAGAGTAACAAGCACATAAGTTAAGGACACTTGGTCCTAAACTTTATGAGCAGGGGTATTTTTGTCCGGGCAGGTAAAGTTTATTAAAACAGTGGCTAAAGACAAAAGACATTTTAAATAGTGGCTTAAAAATAAATATATGTCTTATTAGTGGCTAACTGTGCACTTCCCCCAAAATATGTAACCTAAGCCGCTCAAGTTTAGATGTATTGAAGGGTCATATTTTTATGGGCTAATTTTATCACCCGATAGTAAATAGTGAGAAAAGATAAGATGGAACGAGAGAGTGCTTTGGATAGACTAACTTTAAAAAGAAGAAAAATCGGGGCATTTGCATCTATACCCGCTTTTTGAGTCACGTTTTAACTTGTGCCCGCTTTGCAAAAAAAATTGCAAACGTACCCACTTTTTCGCGTAACTTCAGCATACGGGGCTGAATTAGCAAAGGCAATCACGCAAAACTTCAGCATTCTAGTAGATGGGCCTGAAGTAGCAAAAATTGCTGAACCAAGTGTGCTGAAGTTTTTGTTTGTAATTGCTGAACTTAAGCATAGTAGCTGAAGTTTTGTTCTCTATTTGCTGAAGTTTTTGTTTGTAATTGCACTAAATAAGCTGAAGTTTTTTTGTCCTGGATTCATTAGTTTTGTCATTAAGCTTTTTCAAAAACTTCAGATGCTGAAGTTATTTAGCTCATTTATAAAAACTTTAGCACTAAATAAGCTGAAGTTTTTTTTGTCCTGGATAGGCTTTTTCAAAAACTTCAGCAGAAGATGCTGAAGTTATTTAGTTCATTTGTAAAAACTTCAGTACTAAAAGCTGAAGTTTTTTTGTCCTGGATTCATTTGTTTTGTCATAAAGGTTTTTCAAAAACTTCAGCAGAAGATGTTGAAGTTATTTAGTTCATTTGTAAAAACTTCAGCACTATATAAGCTGAAACTTTTGAAAAAGCTTTTTAACATACTAAATAAATAATCAGATTGTCAACAATATCTCAATCATAAATTTTGCAAATAATAAACGTGAAAAGAACAGAATTATCATGAAAAGAATCACTAAGTGTGACCTTAAACTTCCTGTACGTGGAAATATTCACAAATTATTGTCTATTAACTTACGTAATTATCTATAATTTATTTTTAAATAATCTGATAAACATACTTATGGCAATCATCCCATGAACTGAAGTTTCATAGCAGCACCAACAACAGCAGAAGAAAAAAGAAGAAGTAGAAGAAGAAGAAGAAGAAGAAGAAGAAGAAGAAGAAGAAGAAGAAGAAGAAGAAGAAGAATGAGGAGAATGAGGAGGAGAAATTGGGCTGAAGTTGTTTAAAAAGTGGATACATGTTAAAACTTTTAAAAAAATAGGTATAGATTAAATGGGGGCGACCAAATAGGGCGCCCCGTGCAATTTTACAGAAAAATCTACACCTAAGTGATGAACGTGAAGTTTGAAAAACTAGACTAGAATTACAATCCATAAATAGTTGTAATGTTTTGGAATGGTGATCACGCCCAACTCTAGTGCTAAAAAGGATATGCGGTCGCTGCAAATATAATTCGGTATAAAAGTCCGGAGTCGAATCCCACAGAAAACTAAGGCTTAGCTATATCTATTTAATATCACTAAAAAGACAAGTTTGAACAATTTTCTAAATTATAAATATTGAGATTTATATTTCTAACTAATTAATTAGCAAATACTAGAAAACGGTAAAATTATCAACTAACGAGACAAAGGGTTGGAAACTAAATTAAGGAGGTCTAGAGTTATGATTTCCTCAATTGTCGGAATCCTTCTAGCTATGTTCTCTATAATTTTTGCTAATGTATTCTCTACTGATCGTGAGCACTTTAGCTGTCGTAGTTCTCTCTCGAGCAACTACAATAATTTACTAGACATATTCTCTCGAACTACGCTAGTTGGCTTTATCTAACCGCTCATTATGACCACGTTAAGGCTTTGTTATTTCTAAACCTGCCTTTAAACCCGCCATATTGATTTCTCACATACGTTAGGAGTGACGTTGTTCAACAATCACCTAAATATGTATCCCTTCTCAAGCAAAATATAATAAATAGGCACAGTCAATCGATGACCATTCAATCAACAACAATAAACATGTAGTTGAACAAGTAGAGAAATCCAACGGCTCAATTATATAAAAACATAACAAGAATTTATCCTACAAAAGGTTCTATCAAAACCCTAGATAACAAATCAGCTATTCATAATAGTATGTAAAACTACAATACTAAAGTCATAACCAACAATGAAAAATAGGAAGAGGAAGGAAAAACTCGTAGAAGAATTCCCCGCCTTGCTCCTATTGTGTCTCTGACTCCTTAGGTCGAATCTGTATCAAAAGTATGTCCAACCTCTTAAAATACCCTTTTTCCATGTATATATACCAAGTAGGGTCGGGACCAAACAATTATACCTTCTCCTATGCGAAAAAGAACTATTTTTCAGGTCCAGACGCTCGCGGTCGCGGTCCGGGCGCGGTATTTTCCCAGTGCACTGCCTCAGTTCGCGTCTAGGTACGTAGTCGCGGTTTCAACCGCATTTTTCACCCTGTTCCGTTTGGAATTTAGAAAAATGTAAAACATGAAGATTGTAGCCCTTTAAGTTATCTTTCCAATCATATATTGTGGAGCCCAAATGGAGTTCTGAGCGAAAAGTATGTGCATTTTATTAGACAGTGCGCAATATGCCTACTCGATTCTTCGTTTCGTTGCTCTATCATCCGTTGATCCCCGAACACGATCCCTGCTTAATTCCTTGGGCTTTTACTCAGACTTCAAAACTCCAAATTACTTGAATTCATTTCATAACATCTATATAGCTCGGAATCACTCCTACAAAGCATAAAATACATAATTAGTACAAAACACCAGCGATTAAAGCGTAAACTCAACTAAAATGTAGTAAATTAGAGTGTAATAATCGACTAAAATACGTAATTATAGCTCATCATCAAATGGTAAAAAGAGAAAGACTAATGCTTTTGTATGTTGGAATTGTAGACTTCTTTGACAAGGAGATTTGAATCGAGATACGCAGCCAGTGTCTCTTGTCACTTGCCAAGTGAAGATCAAGGATTCAAACCGCTTCTCCCACAACAAAATTACATTAAATAAAATGATAATCATGTTCTTAATACTGTAATAGTATCCAAATGAGTGAATAAATAATAAATAGACTTTATGGACATTAACAGGGAGGGAAACATGTTAGAGTCAATCAAATTAGGCTGTAAATAATGTTGCACAAGTTGTAAGCAAAACATAAATTCGTAAATAAGGAAGTTACTACTCTGAAATTAACAAACAAAAATAAAAGAAGAAAAACAATGGGCCTTTTTAGTACGGGATTGAGTGCCACGTATTTCAATTTTATAGCACGTTTGGCCAAGATGCAAAAATCAACTTATTTTAAGAAGTGTTTTTTTTAAAAAGTATTTTGGTGAGAAACAACTTGTGTTTGTCTAATTAATTTGAAAAGCACTTCTGAGCAATAATTAGTATTTGATCAAACTTTTAAAAACTACTTTTAAGTGTATTTTCTCAAAAGTATTTTTTAAAAAAATGATTTGGAAAGAAGCTACTTTTTTCTGCTTGTCCTATACTGTTTCTGCTTCTACTCAAAAACACATTTTCCACCTAAAAGCTTGGCCAAACACTTTAACTTTGAAACAAAAACACTTTTTTTAGCTTTGGAGAAGTTTGACCAAATATGCTATTAAAATCTTATTTATTCGCTTGCTAAGCACCCATACACGTGTTTCAAAGGCGTAAGTGCACATATAGCCGATATTTGGACCGCTATTTAAGCCATATCCTAAGTTCTTAAAATTTTGCTAGTCTAACCATTTCGAAACAATTTTAGACATATGGTAATAAAAAATTTGCATCCTAAGTTGCAAATTTAGGCACATATAACTAAAGTTCATGTATTTTAGCATAAAGGTCAGGCATATATGACTAAAATTCAAATATCTTTTGCATAAAAGGTCAAGCATATATGGCTAAAATTCAGGCCTTTCGTACATATGGCTGAAGCTTATGCATTTTTGTATGAAGTTAAGCACATACGGCTAAAGTCCAACCGTATATGCATGAACTTGGCAAAATCTGGCAGCTTCAGTTTGTTTGCCTTCTTCCTTTAAGCTGCAGCTGAAATTTTGATCAAATTCACCCAAATTTAAGGTATAATCTTCTACCAAATCTATAAACACATAATAATTTCACGGAATCCCAAATTTCAATTGACCAAACCAAAACTAGTTAGGTGAAGATCCCAAAACAGCATCAACCGATAGATTTCAAGATTTTCTGGTTCACAAATTTCAAAAACTCGATTTTATTAATAAAGTATTTTCGTTTAATATTGGCTACCAGTTAAAAAAATTGGAGACACTGGATATAGCTTAAATAGCGGGCAAAACTGGTTACGAGGTGAAATATTTACTGTTTCGAGCCTTTTGGATATGGCCCTCTACATTTAAAAATGGAAGCCCATAAAGTTCTTAACTTCAATATATGTCCGGCCCATCAGTTTTGAAAATGGATTTTGAGAGGCCCAGAGTCCATTACAAACCCAACAGGGAAACTTGCTTTCTTCTCCGGCGAAAAATCGGGTGGTATGTTCCTCTCTGCTCGCTATCTCCACTATTTTCTACTTTACCCTAATAAAGTACGCTTGGAATTCGATTTTTCATTACTTAATTTTATATGTTTTCAAGTTAATTTTCATTTTCATTTTCATTGCTTCCCCTTTGATTATAGCCAAACTTCTGTTAGTTTATTATATGACAGTTAATAGTATCAATTTCCATTGCCTACTTTTGTCCCTTACAAAAAAAAAATTATAGTATCAATTATTTGAGTATTTTCACTTGAAAGTAGGCTCATAAGTTCACAAAAAAATGAAAACTTTGTATATTGTGTTGCTATTGATTTGCACTAACTTTTAGGGGTCATCTTATAACTACTAGTTATGCAAGGATTATAGTCTTGTTGTGAGTAATAATATGTGGATTTTTATGGATGAACGATAATACATGGATTGTTATACAGAGTTTGTGATACCAAAATAAGAAATAGCTTTATCTTGGGATGCTGAATACACATATTCTTATTCCACATAGTATGTATAAGTAACAAAGTTAATCTCGTATAACTCAGAGGCGGATCCAGGAATTTAGGAGGATGGGTGCACTATTACGAAGCGGTGGATCCAGAATATAAATTTTAGGGATTTAACCTTTAGTTCTACTATTGCATCCATTACACTTTTGGAATTATAAGTTCAAATTTAATATTAATATAGTAATTTTCTTACATCTATATAAGTATTCTTTACTCCCTATCGAAAATGTTGGGATCATTTGAATCCATTGACTATATGCTAGATCATTCACTACTACTAGTTTTAATATGCACATTTTGTTTAATCATATAAAATTTTATTGTAACCAAAGAATAATAGGAATTTCAATGCGTGAAATTCTAAAAGAATAAATCAAACAGAGAAAGAAAGAAAAAGAAGAAGTACTTAATTAATATGCAAAAAGTGACACCAGACATGTCCATCTCCCGTGGGCGCCTAGTTCTAAATAAATAAAATAAGATTGACATGAGATTTGAGCTCATAATCCACTCAGAGAGGTGCATCCAATAATCATCGCATCATATGATATGTTGAGCTTGGGTGCACACATATATTTAGCATTTTAAATAAAATATAACATTACTATACATGATTTAGGGAGGGGATCATGGGTTCACGTGCCCCATAGAACCCCCTAGATACGCCCCTGCTATAACTTATGCAAGTATTTTTGTGCAGAGTTCTCTTTACCTAAAAGGCTAAAACCAAATGTTGTATTAGTAATGCTGTATTGTATTAATAATGAAATGTTTTGTACCTGAAGACAGACACAGTAGTATTAATGCCGAGTATTATATTTTCCTTAGCCCTTAGTTTCTTGCAGATGTAGACATTAAAGAGAGAAAGCTGGGAAGCACCATATTAAGTATCATTAAAGATAACAGGTAAATGCTTAATAATAACCACTTCTAACTTGCACTCACAGCACAAGCTACGTTCAGAGCATTTCAGATGTTTGTAATGTAATAAAAAGAAATTCTATTGAAAAGAATAATCTGAAAACAGTAAAAATAATTAAAAAAAAGAGTTTGTGTTGGATTGGCACAACAAATCTATGCACAATGCTCGACTTATAGATTGAAGAATTATGAGTCAGTTTACTTACGTGTTGTTTGTTTCACACTTTTCATTTGTTTCTCGGCTGGTGTTTAGCCTTAGTTGGGAACTGTAGTTTATCTTGTAAACTCTGTTCTAGATGTGAATATATCATCTCTCCTTTAAAAGAAAGAACTCACATCTTCTACATCAATTTGGTGCGACAGAATGGTGACTTGAATGTTTAACTTTGCTGTTTTATTTCTGGATATTTATTATGGGTGAAGCATTAGCAGCGTTATCAGATAGGTTAATTTTTGTCTTTATTCAGTTCCCTTCTTCTCCAGATATTGTATTTGCCAGAAATTGCCTTTTAAGTAAAAATATTACATGATCAATGTCTTACATCCAGACCCCACTTGTGGGATTACACTGGGTTGTCTTATGTGATTTTCCTGTTTGTTTTACAGGTGACAAAGAGATGAAGTTTCTCTGAATTGGTCTTGTACATGGAGGAGAGCCATGGCATTTGCAAGCTTTAATGGCTCTCTTTGAAAGAGATGAGGAGGTGTTCTATTTTTGTTTTTTCGTACCATTGTCAACTCTTATCTTATCATCAATACTTGGGTTCTGTGATAAAACACACCTCATTCTCTTGCTTTTCAACTAATTGTGCGGTTGAAAAGCTTTCTTTCCTTCCTTTAACTGCTGCGAGACCCTTTCCAGATTATTCGCCTAAAAAAGCCTCCATTAGAGACTCTGAACTCGTGCATCACGTAGCAACTTCTATTAAGCAACGTTACTCTGAGCACATTCACCGTGTTTTAAAGCCCTTTGAATCAAAAATCAGACCTGACCACATCATTTGGGTTCTCATGAATGTGAAGAATGATTACAAACTAGTTCTGGATTTCTTTGACTGGTGGTGTCAACGGAAGGACCCGTCAGTTGAAGTCCGTTGTATTGTCGTGCATATTGCCGCTGCTCAAAAAGATGCAAGGACAGCACGTAGGCTTATCCATGATTTCTGGACAAGACCCAGTGTAGATGTGACAGTTTTCTTCTCTCAGTTTCTCGAAAAATTAATATACACTTATAAGGATTGGGGTTCTAATCCATATGTTTTTGATATTTTCTTCCAAGTGCTTGTTGAGTTGGGAATTCTAGATTGTGCAAGAAAACTTTTTGATAAGATGTTGCACTATGGCTTGGTTTTATCTGTCTCTTCATGTAACTTATTTCTTTCTCGTCTCTCACATGATATTGAGGGGCACAAAATGATGCTTAAGGTATTTAATGAATTTTCGGAAGTGGGTGTTTGCTGGGATAATGAATCTCATAATATAATGATCCATTCTCTTTGTCAGATAGGAAAAGTTAAAGAAGCTCATAACTTACTCCTGCAAATGGAGCTGAGGGGCTGTATGCCTGAAATTGTAAGTTACAGCACCGTGATTAATGGATACTGTGCTACTGGACAGCTTGAACAAGTCTTGAAGATCATCAAAGAAATGCAAGTAAAAGGATTGAAGCCAAATGCTTTTACTTTTAACAGTATAATTCTTCTTTTGTCTAAGACTGGCAAAGTGCTTGACGCCGAGAAAATCCTGAGGGAGATGACTTCCCAGGGAGTCGCTCCAGATAATGTTGTTTACACAACTCTTATAGATGGCTTCTGCAAAACTGGGAACATAAGTGCTGCATACAGACTGTTCAATGAGATGCAGTGTTTTAACATTACTCCTGATTTGGTAACATATACTGTCCTTATTTCTGGTCTGTGTCAAACTGGAAAAATTGGTGAAGCAAATACGCTCTTAAATGATATGCTTGGCCGGGGATTAGAACCTGATGAATTCATTTATACTGCGCTTATTGATGGTTATTGCAAGGCAGGGGAGATAAGGGCAGCCTTTTCTCTTCACAACAAAATGGTTCAGATGCAGTTGGCGCCAAATATTGTGACTTACACTGCACTGGTAGATGGGCTCTGTAAACTAGGGGAACTTGATACAGCACACGAACTTCTCCATGAGATGTGTGGAAAGGGTCTTGAACTGAATATCTACACATACAACTCACTTGTTAATGGTCTTTGTAAAGCTGGAGATGTAGAGCAAGCAGTAAAGTTAATGAAAGATATGGAAGCTGCAGGGATCCACCCTGATACTTTTACTTATACTACTCTAATGGATGCATATTGCAAATCTGGAGAGATGGGCGAGGCTCATGGATTACTACGTCAAATGTTGCTCAGAGGACTTCAACCAACAATAGTTACATTCAATGTTCTGATGAATGGTTTTTGTATGTCAGGGATGCTAGAAGAGGGTGATAAACTGTTGAAGTGGATGTTGGAGAAGGGCATAATACCAAATGCTACCACCTACAATTCTCTTCTGAAGCAGTACTGCGTTCGAAATAATATGCGTATGACGTCAGAAATTTATAAGGGGATGCTGGGCCAAGGAGTTGTACCAGATGCCAATACCTTTAACATATTGATACGAGGACATTGCAAAGCTAGAAATATGAAAGAGGCTTGGTTTTTGCACAAGGAAATGATCAAGAAGGGATTTACTCCCACGGTAGATACTTATCATGCACTCATCAAAGGTTTTTTAAAGAGGAAAAAGTATTCTGAGGCCAAAGAAATGTTTGAAGAGATGAGAAGGGAAGGTTTGTTGGCAGATAAAGAACTTTACTCCATCTTTGCGGATATGAACTATGAATTAGGGAACTTTGATTTGGCGCTTGAGCTTTGTGATGAAGCATTAGAAAAGTGTGTCTCAGACAAGACTGATAACAGGAATACATGATAGTTCTCTGTGATTTAAATCTTCTGATAAAAGAGTTTCAGCTGTATTTGTGCTGCTACAGAAAGCAGGAACCTGAAATTGTAGTCATCATCCAAGAACCTTGGTAAATCTTCCACACCATAGAAGAATAAGCTTCCATAAGAATTATGCTAAAGTTTGACTAGCTTACTGCTAGATATTCTTCTTTAGTTAGCGTACCAAATACTTCAGCACATAGTCTTTTTCTTTTTCGGGGATAAATCAGCTTCAAATTTGTTGTTTCAGGTCTCTTGAGCTACAGCAATATATAGATTGGCTGACTGTTGGTCAAAATTTGGTACCAGCATATGGGAAAATCACTAGTCATTGAAGCATCCAGGAACTAGTGCCTCGAGAGACTTCAAATTGTGGAAAAGAATGATGGTACTTAGCTGCCCAGAAATATGCCATGTTCTTCAAATGTCCGAGCAGTCCCAAAAATTTGACAGCTTCATGGCTTTCTTTGATGGCTTGCATGTATCAGATAAGAAGGTCTCTAGCAGTTTTACTGTAGGTTTGGTTAATTGAGCTAAGAGCATGAACACCGACATGCTCAAGAACAGAGTCCTTGGATGGCCAGAGGGATCTTGCTTATAGCTGCTTCAAAGGTTTTGCTTATTGTCAGAATTGTGTCAATCCGGAGGAAGAAAACATAGAGGCTGCAGGTTTTGAAAAATTCCCAGCAATTTTCTGTTATTATTAGGCCATGTTACATTAAATCTCGGACCTTTGATCTCCTTTGCTAGTAGATTCACGGGTGTCAAAGCTTCATGAAGCTAAGCACTCTCAGACTTTTTCATTTGAGGAACCTAGAGCCTGAGAGAAATGTAGCTTTTTAAGTCTGAATTAGCATTTCGAGCATTTTGAGAAGCTTTCTGCATTGTGTTAGTGGTGATCCTGTAGCTGATTTTGAAACTAGCCATAATAAATCAGGTGCCTTGCTCCTCATGATGCTAAGTCTTTTTGTGCGGTCAAGCCAATTCAAGTTGTTACTCTTTGAAATCATCAGATGATTATTTGAAACAGCTGAGTTCATTATACTTGGTAATTGCGTATTGTTAGTCATTTCTATTTCTTCAAGGAACTAANTTAGATCTGTAGCATGCGATGCAGGGAGGTGAAAGGAGGACTGATGGTCAGCTTTAAGAAATTCCTGCTTGGATAGGGAAAGAAGCATGAAAGCTAGGTAAAAGTTGAAAATTGAATTGACTGTCAGTTCCTCCAGTAGTTTAGTATGGAAAACAGATAACTCTAGAATGGACTTCCTGTTTCAGTTTCCTCCGGTGATTTGAAGTGGAAAGCGGATAACTTTGGAATGGACTTCTTTTATAAGGGTACAAAGTTAGAGTGGAGAGTGGACTTGTACGTGGCTGTNAGCGGTGGGGGGTTTCTTGGGCGTTGAGAATGTAAAGTCAGAAGTTCCAAGGAGCAGCATTATTTTAACCTATATTCGATTTCCATAGCTGCAGAAGTGGTAGTGAGTGATCTAACATTCATCTTTCTTCGTGAATCAGGTGTTGTGGGCGTGGAGTTCTACTGCGATGCAGTAAATTACAACATACCATCAAAGATTGACATCCATCTGTGTATTGAATAAAGATCCCAGTTGATTGTGCTTTTCTAAGCTTGGAATAGATGTAAAAAGAACACCGGAAGACTAGGATAAGATTCTGGAGAGGCTGTTGTTTCGATAGATGGAAGTAGTAGTTCAAGGAATGCATGATTGTTTAACCTGGTTAAAACTGTTGGAGGAGGTTATATGATAATCAATGGCTGTCTTGATATGTATGGAAGTTTTAATTGACTCACGGTTTGCAAGCTAGGCCATAGACGTGTGGCATCAGTTTCAGGAGAGGTAAATATGTAAATCACGCATTGCAAACTTCGAATTTAAAGCCAAAGCAGTATTAATCAAGTACCTGTTCCGTTCTTTTTTTCTTGTATCTCACACTTCCGCCGAAGCTAAGGTAGCTTTGCTGTTTTATTCTTTTTCTTAATGTTTTTATTTAATTAAAACCTTGTAGATCATGGGTTCAAGTTGTGGAAACAGGCTCTTGCAAAAAACAAGGTAAAACAACATATAATAAACCCATTGTGGTTCAGCCTTTCCCTTGGCGGGAGTTTAATGCACCGGACTGCCTTTCCTCAGGCCTTGTATTGCTGTCTACATTATTTGATATGCCGTGTCTTCTGTGGTCGAAGTGTTCGGTATTTAAGAGAGAGGACGATCATAATGCTTTTAGGGTTGGTCATGGTTTTAATCTTACAATTGAGTTCTCTTCTGCAACAAGATATACAGTTGCTCCGCCACAAACTGTAGCTTGTGTATTATAACTGATGTCATAGTCACAGTGAAATTTCTACAAGATAAAGCTAGTCAAATGCAGCAGGCAGTAAAGAACAAGGACCAAGCAGAAATCTGGTTTAGCAATGTGACCATCTGAAGGTGCAGAGGGACCTGGGCTCTCAGCAGCCCTCACTATCTCCTTCGAGCAAGTGTAGTTGCAGCGGCTTGGACGAACCACTCTGTATACGCCGGTGCTTGTTAAAATATAGGTATCCTTTCTGTTATCCTGTCCAAATGAGAATATGTAACCTAAAGCAGGCAATGGACTATTGGGTACTGAGCTGCAGTTGAGAGGGGAATCATGAGCACAACTAAATGGTATGCCTCTTGTTGTAAAGTTCCCACTATTGTATGGATTTTCTTGAGCTGCCCAGAAATTCTTAGCATACAAATCTCCATATAGGTAACTGCAAATTTAACCATCCTTCTGTTAAGTTTGGTTTGCAAAATTTGAAGTTGCTTCAATTATATATCTAAATGGGTGTTCATATTTACCTTCCATATATGCAGGGATCAGTCTTGGAGCGATAAACATAGCCACCTGAGATAGCTGCAGATCCAACCTCTTTATTTATATCAGAATGGTTGTATCCTAATACTGGGAAGATGGGATCCATAGAATCATCAGCTGAAGCATTTTTAAAGCGGAAAGGACCTTCGTACATGCTCCATCCATAGTTTCCCCCTCTCGTGATGATGTCAACTTCTTCATATTGATCCTGCATGATTCAAATGATTGTTAGAAACTCATCATCAAGTTACAAGTCAGCATGGTGCAGAGGTCTGTAGAAATGAATTTTAACAAAAGTGAGACTATCACTTTACCTGGCCAACATCCGCGCAGATGAAGTAAGAAGGCCTTTCTGAATCGAAGCTACAGCGCCAAGGATCTCTCAATCCTAGAGCCCAAATTTCAGGCTGCAAATCCTTGTCTTGTGAATAAGGATTATCTCGAGGAACTGAATAGTTACCCCAATGTCCAAGGTCTGATATTTCTTCTTGACCTGATGAAAAAAAAATCACCCAGTATCTCATGACATAACTGAAGAAAGTTCAAGACAGGCCAATTAGGCTTTTAGTTTTAGTGTCAATTTTTGTAATAAATCGAAATGCTCACTTGGTATGTTATCGATATCAACCCTCATAATTTTTCCTAGCAAGGACTTCTTATTTTGAGCAAAATTGAAAGAATCACCCTTGCTACCACCATCTCCCATCATAATGTAGAGATATCCATCTTCAGGGCCAATGAGTATTTGTCCTCCATGATTAGCTGTAAATGGGAGCCCCATTGTAAATATTCTTCTCACTTCTGATGGTTTCGCCTTCTCCGCCTACAAAAGTTATGAAATGTCAATTAACAAAGTCAAAACACAGTGCCTAGAGACACATCAAAGAAACCTTTGAAATGGGATTGGAGAAAATTCTATTTCAAGGTAGAATTGTAATGTTGAGTTTAATTTCTATAAACTGATAAGAGTAAAGAATTTTAACACCATCAGCAGAAGCAGATCCAGGAGTTACATTTGATAGGTTCAACTTTTAAGTTCTTACTATTGAATCCAATATTCTGATAGTATAAAAATTCTTTATATGTCAGGTGTATAGAAGCTCAGCTGTATAAAATTTAACTCCCCTCCAAATTTAAAGGTTTAGCTTAACTCCATCATTGATACAGCTGCTGTTTTAGAACATATTGAGAGTGAAAACTTACCTTGGATGGATTTGGTGCAATCCCATTAACACTGAACTCTGCAACAACAGTATGATATTGACATGGCTGCTTATTATCATCTGAGTTTATCTTTGAAGGGTCACAACCAACATCTGAATTACAAGCACATCTTCCAGCACATCTAGGAGACTTAGCTTTGTCACAGTTAAATGATGCAAAGAACCTTCCATTCTTGTCAAAGTTTGGATGAAAAGCCATTCCCATCATCCCAAATCTTGCATCTAAATAAACATCATCTGTTAAATCAGCAAATGGACTTGATTCATCAAGTTCCATTGCTTCTTCTGAGTCTTGTTCTGGTATTGTTGCTAACCAAATTTTTCCAGGCTGATTGGAGAAAAATGCGCGGTTCGATCCATCAGGATGAGGAACCATATTGAGGTAAGCTCCATCAGCAATCTTCTCTAAACACATACCATTGGGAGGCTGTAAAGTTTCATTTTTCTCGAGTAAAACCTGTTCTCCACTGAAACATAATGAATCTTTATCAGAATTTCCACCAAATGCTTCACAAAAATCGTTTTTCGATTGCCAGAAGTCTGTTAACAAGGAGGAGTTTGAGTTTTGGCTCTCTCCTGCTTTGGTTTTCAAGGATGGTGCAAAAGGAGAATTTGTTATTGGTATGTTTTGGCAAGAATCCCAAACAGATGAACAAAAGCTATTCTCTGATGTAGCAGTTGAATTGCAAAGAACAGGGACTGGTCTTGGCCTTGATTTCACCTTAAACAACTCTGCTGAGAACTGATCACATGTCTGCAAATGTTGGAAATCTTTTTTATTAGCTTTAAAGCAAAGTTTATTCATTAGATGTTGAAACTATTCTTATGCAAGTTCTCAAAATTCATATTCTTTCTTCAAGAATTTGGCAAAAAAGCAAATTAGCTATCCAGCAACTACAACATCAACAATCCCAGCATAATCCTACGAGTGGTGTCTGGGAATGGCCGTGTACGCGGACCTACCTATACAGGTAGAGACTATTTCCGATAGACCTCGGCTAAAAAATAAATTTAGCTAACCCCATCAAGAAAAATTAAGGAAGAAGTTTGAAAAACTGCAACTTCAATATCCACTCAAATGTATAAGAATGAAATTAGGAAACTTACTGAGCAGAGTATTGACTTCACAGCAGAACTACATGCTGTATCATCAGTTATATTCATACCCTCAAAAAGCTTCTGCAATTGCAGATCTTTTGAAGAGTCACAACAGACTCTTCCATTATATGGACAAAAGGCCAAAGGCTTCTGTGGAATAGCAGGTGCTCCTACATATATACAATATATAATCAGCAAAAGAAAACAAAAACTTATGTAAAAATGACATTTTGATAGTGATTGAACTGCCCCCATAAAAATCTTGAAAAAACTTACTCAAGTCTGTGCATAAAGGGAGTGAAGAAGATGGATTGAAGAAGCTATACAGAAGGAGACAAATGAATGAGAACAGCAGATTAAGTTGGTTATTCATTTCTGGAAAGATGAAGCAGAGAGGACAAGAACAAACATGCAGCAGCAAATCTGGTATTTTTCCTTATTCTTATCATGATGGAGAAATAAGTAACAAGATATATAAAAAAGGAAAAATAACTTTGTTACAAAAGATGTCATTATTCAAGGAATTTAAAAAAAAATAAAAAAAATTAGTGTTTGGTTGGTGATTTCTCTTTTGTTCCTCCTAGTGCCGGGCTTTATATACTGGTTATTGTTTTACTTTTCATCTATTTTTTGGTTCTGGTAATACTGTTATTTATTCAATGGTTTCTATTGATGGTACTGATATATTGCCTCTTTTCGTCTTCTTGAACCGAGGGTCTTTTGGAAACAACTTTTCTATCCCTCGGGTTGGAGTAAGGTCTGCATACACACTGCCTCCCCAGACTCCACTAATGGGATTTCATTGGGTTGTCGTTGTTGTTGTTGTAGTGTTTGATCAAAAAAATATTTTTCAGAAAAAATATTGTATATATTAAAGATCAATAATAATAATAGTAAATCAGAAACGGTTCTCTTGAATTTTGGAGTATTACTAATAATGTCTAAATATTAGTTGGAACAAATAATATGAAGTTAAAAGGTAAAATTATTATAAGAAAATCGATTTATGTCTATAAGTGAGGGAAATTATTTTTATTCTTTTGGTGAAAATAGTTTTCTCCCTTGGAACGAAAAAGCTTCCATTAATAAAATATACTAAATGATTTTCCGGAAGGAGTTGAATTTTTTTTCAAACTCTTTTAACTTTAAGGTATGATGAATTATCTGTACCAGAAAGGCTTCAAGTTGGTAAAAGTAGTGTTGGAAATTGGCACCCACGTTTGAGCAATAATTCAAGACTTTAGCTTGACTATTACCCTCTCTACGAAATCTCAGTGGATAGGTAGTAGTTGAAAGGGGAAGTAATGATAAAGGACAAAAATAGATATTTTATTGTTATCCAGAAAAAAAAGAAAAGAAAAAGTTAAAATTTTCTAAAAGTTGGATTGAATGTTCATTTTTCATTGATATTACGACCTTACAGATGTGTACATTTGCATTGATTGCTTATACTTCTACGCAGTGTAAATTTAAATTAATTAAATTTTAATACGAATATCGAATGAAAAAGAAAAAAAAACATACTGGTTGTACTTGCCTACAATTTAAAAAGTGGTATAGTGGGTTCACACTTCGGCCACTAAATGGTCATTTTCTTGACAGCCATTTATCACTATAGTACCAATCGACATTTATTTTATTATCTTTTTAAATTTTTTTGCTTATATAGTCGTTGAATGGGATGAACTTTTCTGACCCTAGAAACAAAAGTGAAGTTTTAAGAACAATTACACTTTATAAATTGAGTAGAAAACTCTGGTCTTCCTATTAGAAAGTACCAAGGAATTGTCACAAAAGGAAAAGAACTTTAATTTTCAAGTTAACCAATCAATGACAATTTGGATACAAGCATTTATTCTAATCTTTTGACAATGCAGTAAAATGTTTAACAGAGATTTGTACCTTATAACCGAATCGGATCCAGAATTTTAAGTTTATCGATTCTTACAGAAATTTTAAATTAATATTCAAGGTTCCTAGAGAAGTTCTCTGGAGATGCTTAGAGGCAAAAGGTGTGTCGATTCCTTACATTATGGCAATTAAGAATATGTATGTTGGGGCAAAGACTTGAGTTAGGACAGTAGGAGGCGATTCTGATCATTTTCCGGTTGAAATGGGATTATACCAAGATTCTGCCCTCAGTCCATTTTTGTTCGCCCTGGTGCTGGATGCATTAACACACCATATTCAAATGGAGGTGCCATGGTGCATGTTATTCGCCGATGAAATAGTTCTGATTGATGAGTCGCGAACCGGTGTTAACGATATGCTGGAGGTTTGGAGACAGGCTCTTGAGTCTAAGGGTTTCAGCTGAGCAGGACGAAGACGGAATACCTGGAGTGTAAGTTCTGCACTGAGTTAGGGGAAGTGGAAGTGGATGTGAGGCTTAAATCACAGGTCATCCCAAGTAGAGGCGGCTTCAAGTACCTTGGGTCGGTTATCCAGGGGGGAAGGGAGATCGATGAGGATGTTACATATCGTATTGGTGTAGGATGGATGAAGTGGAGGTTAGCATCTGGAGTCTTGTGTGATAAGAGAGTGTCACCGTTACTTAAAGGTAAGTTCTCTAAAGCGGTTGTTAGACCACCCACGATGTATGGGGCTAAGTGTTAGCCTATAAAGAACTCACATATCCAGAAGATGAAAGTAGCAGAGATGAGGATGCCGAGGTGGATGTCCGGGCACACTAGGATGGATAAGATTAGGAATGATAATATTTGGGAGAAGGTGCATGTGGCTCCCATTGATGACAAGATGCGGGAAGCGAAACTCAGATAGTTCGGGCATGTTCAGAGGAGAAGCCCAGATGCGCCAGTAAGGAGATATGAGCAGATGGTTGTGGAGGGCACGAGAAGAGGTAGAGGACGACCTCAGAAGTATTGGGGAGAGGTGATCAGGCAGGATATGGCGAGGCTTCAGATTTCCGAGGACATGACACGGGATAGGGAGATGTGGAGGTCGAGTATTAGGGTTGTAGGTTAGGAGGTGGTTTGAGTCTTTCCTTACTTTGTACCATTGCGAGACCAGTCTGGTAGGGTTTTTGTCTAAGATAGTTAGTGGCAATATTGTGTCTTACTATTTCACTTTTCAGCGCAGGAACTATTTACTAGCTATCGCTTTTGCTTTGTATCTTTCTTTTGAATTTCATGTTGTTCCTGTTTTTCATATGATTTCTTTGCTGATACTAATATTGTCTCCTTTTGTCTTTTGTTTTCTTGAGCCGAGGGTCTTTCGGAAACAGCCTCTCTACTAGGATAAAGTCTGTGTATACACTACCCTCTCCAGACCCCAGTAGTGGAATTTTACTGGGTTGTTGTTGTTGTTGTTATTGTAACTGGATTAACGGACTGAGTTCTAAGCTAAATATTCTTATACATATAATGAATTTTTCAATACAAATACTGAATCTAGACAAAAGTTACTGAATTCTCGGGAACTCGTAACTAATGCACTGGATCCGCCCCAGCCTTTGAAAATTAATCTGTTTGATTATTGACCGTATTTTGTTAAAGCATAAAGGTACTTGACGGTTATTTATTTAGAGTGGAAGGTAGGAGATAAGCTATGGGGTTCGTATTAATTTGGCAGGGAACGCTTTTTTCGAAAGTGGATTTTTTTCGCAACAATTTAGGTTAGTCGAATTCCAAAGCAAATATCGAATATCAGATTAGAAACAAAGAAAAAAAATTGGAAGATAGGATGTGTTCACTTTGAATAATTAACAGTTAACAACAATATTTTGCTTGTTAATCGATATTTCAAATTATTTGTAAAGGACAAAAAACGTCGCTCATAAATGGCATCATCATTATATATGATTCCATGTAATGTGTATCTTCACTGAAATAAATATTTTCAGAAATTTAAGATAACCAAACACTACACTGTAATTCTTGCAAGAAAATATCATCAAAAAGTTATTTTACGACATACCAAACACAACTAACGATTCGATTATTAATACTTATTAGCACAAATCAAGGTTTCTTGGGTTATTATATGTGAAATATCGATGTACTTCCTCTCCAACCGGACATCAAGATCCTAGAAACAAAGTAAAATCAAACTAAAATGATGGTCACTTTGTCAGACGATCATATTCTTGCCAATACTAATGGTATCATTATCTCATATGTTTAAACAAATAATACAAAATAACAAAGAGATCTCTGGCTATATTTTAGTATTAATAATCTGATCAATGCTATATTACTTAACATTAAACGCATGTTCGTCGTCGTATAAACTATGTCTCTGGTCCAATAACCAAATTGCAACTCTAAATTATCCAATATGATTACTACATTAAGGTAGGTCTATTGATCACGCCAACTCAAGATCTAACAAGGATAAATGGTCGCTGCAAATATAACCTGGCTTATAAGTATAAGGTCGAATTCCACAAAGAACTAATGCTTAACTATAGCTATTTAATATCACTAAGAAAATACGTTCAAACATTTTTTGAGTTATAAAGATTAAGATTTTTGTTTTAAACTAGTTAATTAAAAAAATAATAATGTAATAAGATTATTAACTAAAGAAAGCTATGTGAATTGAAGATTATGATTTCCCCAATTATTAGGATGAATGCTTAACATGTTCGATATAATTACGCCGATTTATTCTCCATTGATCGTGAGTTCTCCTGTTACCACAATTATTTCTCGATAAAAAACAGTAATTTTCTAGAATTATTCTCTAACTAATCTTAGTTAGCAATTCAAGCTACTCATAAGGATCATGCCAAAGCTTCGTTATCTCTGATCCCACTTTTAAATCCAAGTAATTAATCTCTTAACTTACTCAGAGTGACACTGTTCAATAACAACCTAATCAAGTATTCTTTTTCAAGCAACACATGATAAATAGGCACAGTTAATCGATGGACATTCAATAAACAACAAGCAAAACATAGTTGAACAAATAGATTATAAAAACGGCTAATTATATATAAGCATGGTCAATAATTCACCCACTAATTAATTCTATCAAAACCCCTAGAGAAAAGTTTAGCTACTCATAATACTACTCAAAAATACACAACTCATTGTCAAACCAATATTAGGGTAAATGCACATCCATAAATACAAGAGGGTAAAAGAAACTCCTTGGCAGTTTAAGGGTATTCAGACTTCTCCCACGACTTTGGTTCTTTATGTGGGCATCCCACACTTAGTTCTAATCATCTCACTTGCTTTTGCTTTTTTTCTAATAGCCTTGCTTCCAATGCTCCTAAAAATAAAAATAAAAAATACTATAAAAATAATACAATAATAAAAAATAAAAATAAAAATAAAAGAAATCAGTAAAATTAGGTTGCCTCCCAACAAGCGCTTGATTTAACGTCGCGGCATGACGCAAATCACTTTTTGCCTCCACGTGAAGCTTATGAATTGACCCCCCAAGTTTTGCTTCAAGTTTTCTACTATGCTCCAAGGGTCGTGGAACAAATCTAACTGCCCCAAGAAAATAATGTAATATTATGCACTTCTTAGCCTTTGCATGAGGTATATAATTTTGACTTTCTAGCAAGAAGAATTTCAGAACGTAAGCACCTTGTTCCTCATTTCTTGACTCCTCAATCGGCTCGGATGACTCTATTTCTATATCAATTATTTATTTCTAGTTTCTTATATCAATTAAGTACAAATGCTGACTTAATATTATTTTCTTTGTATTTTGTAGGCATATTCTCAGGGTTCATTGATCGGAAAGATTGATCGAGTAAGGAATAAATGACATTCTGCTAAGAGTTGGAATTAATGATCCTTGAGTAACTTAGAAAGATAAAAATTGAGTAACTTAGAAATAATGATCCTTGAAAGTAAGTGCTCAATCTTAAATGTTTTATTGTTAAAGTACTTTTCAAAAAATTCTTTATGGCGTTTAAATAAATTTAATATTAATTAAATCGTTTGTCTTTAATAGATTAAACTCCCATGGTTTAGGAATATAATTAATTGAGCTCTTAATCAAATTTAGTGTTCTTTTATCATTTGATACTCTTTCATTAAGCAGAGAGAAACAAGGAAGAAAATGTAAAGGACCCTTAAGAAGATTTGTTGTGATTTCACGAGATTGAAATGCAATAAAGAATTTGATAGGGATATTAATAAATGATCCATGTGCATTTCTCAAAATTGCCAAACCATACATATAAAGCTACATTTTTCAATCATCTCATTATATATTTCCTACTCGTTTCATCTGCATAAGGCTCCAAATCTTGTATGAATTTATTCAGAAATAGGATTAGGATTTTATTTAATTAAAATTATACTATTAGCTTGCAGATTGTATTTGAGGGTGAAATTCAAAAATAGCCAGATTTACAAGCGGTAATTGAAAAATAGTCACAATTATTTAGCCACTTTTCATGTAAAAGATAAATCTGAACAAAATCCGAAAATATTCCAGCATAATATGTTGGAGTTCGAGTTTTTTACATGTGAACTTCCAGCATATCATGCTGGAATTCCATAATGTGCTGGAATTCCAACATAATATGTTGGAAGTCCATACACAGGTGCTCCAATCTCCGGTATATTATGCTGGAACTTTCCGTAAGTTGGAGTTCCAACATAATATGCTGGAAGTTCATACACAAGTACTCCAATCTCCATTATATTATGCTGTAACTTTTCGTGTTACGGTAAAATAGTGGTTATTTTTTAACAACTTTATAAATACTAATTATTTTTCAATTACCAGTTCGAAAGCTGGCTAATCTGTACTATTTTGACTGCATTTGAAGATGCCATAACTCAAGCAAAAGTTGGTATTGGATGGCCCAATCTAAATAAAATGGGCCGCGTCTGAGGTGATCCAAATTCAAATTAGAAGAATTAACTTATGTACAAGCATTTAAATTTAAAACGATCTGCGAATGTGTGTGTGTTAAATGTGACTGGAATGAATTATTCTTCAGAAAATTGTTAAATGTATTAATTCCAATATAGTTTTAAATATAGAATTACAAACTGTTAACTTTATTCAGGCCCCACTTCTTCTAGAAAAACATCACACGCACAGTGGGGAAGAAGTTTTAACGTGGTCAGTTCTTAGCCATGAAGCTTAACAACCTCCATTTTTCTACAATCCACTGCTTGTATTCCCTCCCTCCCAATTGACGTTGCGGTATTTGATTCGATACGAATTTAAGAAAATAAAAACTTTTAAATATAGTTTAAAATAAAGTATAAATATTTGTATGATTATAAATTAATTCATTAAGGATAAAAGAATTCTAAAGGTAAATTATTTCCAAAAGAAAGATAATGATTTTTTTGGGGACTGACTAAAAAGAAAATAGTGTCACATAAATTGCGACAAATAATATCTTTTTCTTATATATCTGTGATTCCTAGATTGGTATATCTAGGCAAATTTAAAATTTTAATTTAATGGGTTTACTTTACATTTTTTAATCAATGAACCTATTATACTTTTAAAATTAGGTTTATAACGTAAGTTTTTTAAAAAAAAATTATCCACTTTTTAGATACGTATTATTTATATTAGGTATAAAAAAATACTGGTACAGTTAAAGTGTTAAACATACCTTTACACTACATCCACCTTTGATTTCAAGTATCTGGTAACTATACTTATCAAAACTTTGACAAATAAAAAGAAAATCACTTACTAAAAATAATTTTCTCTCTATTGATCACGAAGAATACAACTTTAAACGAGAAAGTCAGTTAACATTTTTATCATTATTAAGAGGGTGTTTGAATTGGTCAAATTAATTTTTAAGTTGTTTTTAGTTAAAATTCAAATAATGCTGGCAAAATACTAGAAAATAGACTCTTTAGTTCCTACTTCCTAGTGCGAAAAGTAGTAAAGTAGCGTCGACAATTTTGCATGGTCAAACAAAGAGAAACAATATTGCACTTAACTTCGGCAAACTCATCTACCATTACCTATTAAAGACTAAAATTTAGCTCTGCCCCTGTTCACACCATATTTTAAAGACTAAAATTTAGCTCTGCCCCTGTTCACACCATATTTTAAAGACTAAAATTTAGCTCTGCCCCTGTTCACACCATATTTTAAAGACTCATCTACCATTACCTATTACTCCCACCACCACCATTTCTCATATTTTGCTTTGATATATCATGGCTGGAAATGATGTGAAAATATTAGGAGCATGGCCTAGTCCATATGTTATGAGGCCCCGTATTGCTCTTAACATCAAATCTGTGGCCTATGATTTTTTGGAGGAACAGTTTGGTTCTAAAAGTGAACTTCTTCTTAAATCAAACCCAGTTTACAAGAAAATCCCAGTTCTAATTCATGACGGAAATCCCATTTCTGAATCTCTCATTATTGTTCAGTATATTGATCAAGTTTGGAATTCTGGTCCCTCTATTCTCCCCTCTGATCCTTATGATCGTGCTATTGCCCGATTTTGGGCCACTTATATCGACGATAAGGTGTGCTCAATTTTCTCTGCTTCATATTTATACTTTGATCTTTGTTTTCGGGTGTGTTTGGTATGATGAATGTCATGTCATTTTACAGGGGAAAATTTCCATTATGTAGTTGTTTTTATGGTGGTTGGTTACCGGAAAATTATTTAACTTTAACTTCTTATTATTTGCTCTAATTAATACGCACTCATGTAACACCCTAGGCCAATCGCAATCGGCCAAAACATAGGAGAGATGTGTTGGACGTAAGGAAGTTAGCCTTAGATCTTAGTGATGCGTATTAAAGCCGTACAGACCTAGGCTTAAAGCGGATAATATCACTAGCTCTGGACGTTTAGTGTCTCAGCTTGTCATTTTCCGTGTGGTAAATTTTCCATCTTTATGTGTGTGTAATAGTTGTGACTCTTGAACAATTAACACGATAATAACATCTATAATGCAAGTATTTTGTGACTGCTAGGTTGTTAATCACGACTCTTGGACAATTAACATGATAATGACTTCCAAATAATGTAGTAAATATTTTGTGGACTGGTAGGTTGTATATCCATTTTAGCCTGTCAGATTTTCTCTTAGGTGTAGTTCAGAAGGAGGAAAGTATTATTCATATGAAATATTTTATAATGGAAAACGTGTGTGATAATTGTACAAGGGCGAAGGATAGGGTATTAGGAGATATTTTTAGGTATTAAAACTTGAAAATACTCTCTCTCTGTTGATTGAACCAAGTATTAGTTAGCATTTTGTAAAGGAAAATGTCTGTGCATAAATGACTTTCTTAAAGAAAAGAAATTCCAAACACTAGAACATGATTTTATTACAAAAATATTTCTCTATACAAAATAATTTGGTGAAGACTGATGAGATACAAGATCTAAGCTATTCTCCTAGACTTATTAAGTTGTTTGCTTTCAGTCCTTTTGCCATAATGGAGATAAAAAAATGTGAAAAGAGGAAAAGAAAAAATTGTACACCTTTTTATGGATCACAGTTTTATTGTACTAATAATCTTATTATAGCTCTTTTGAAACTGTTAAACTAAACTAGTAACCACAATATAATGAGAGAATGCAGTAAAAACTAGTTGCATCTGACGGTTCGTTAGTGGTTTGCGTACCACATTCGAGTACGTTGCTGCAAAAGAACAAAAACAAAGAGCACTTGCAGTAGTGTTTTGCATTTCATTTAGATAGGCTAAATATTTGATTCTTTGTGGGGTTCATGTTTTCCTTATCAGTTGCAGTAGTATTCAGAGGCAGAACAACATGTGTTGAAGGGGCGGAGTTCAACTGAATGCCCTTCGTTAATAGAATTCCGGGCTCCGCCATGAGTAGGACTTACATTTTAATTGATGCTGCAGTGGTTTCCAGCAATGCGTGGCATTGCAGCCGCCCAAGGGGAGGATGCGAAAAAGGCAGCAATGGAGCCGGTAGTCGAGGGGCTGGTGTTATTGGAAGATGCCTTCAATAATTGCAGCAAAGGCAAGAAGTTCTTTGGTGGGGACAAAATCGGATACTTGGACATTGCACTTGGCTGCTTTTTGGGTTGGATCAGGGTGACTGAGAAGTTGAACAATGTAAAACTGCTTGATGAAGCCAAGACTCCAGGTTTATACAAATGGGCTGAAGAATTTTGTGCAGATAGTGCTGTCAAAGATGTCATGCCTGCAACTGATAAGCTTGCTGAAGCTGCTAAGGTCATTATGGCCAAAATTAGAGCCCAAGCATCTAGCTAAATCCGTACCGTCTTCTTCTTACAAGATGTATTTAGACTTTCAAGTCTTGGTAACTATTTTCAATCTCTAGCTAAGAGGATATATTATGAGAACAACATTTTGATATTTGAAGGAGCCTAAAATATGTAATAAATTAACTATTCAGAAATGAGTGCTTGAAGCCAAGAACTAGTGTGTGTTGATTAATTCTAACTGGTGCCTATTTGATGTTTGTTTCAGTTTTTTGAAACTGAAAATGTTGTATATCGAACTGAATTCAGAAATTGGCTAACAATAACAGAGCTGGAATGTATGGAAAAAATCTTGATAGGGTGCCTTAAGCAGCAGGGAAGATTAAGTTAGGAGAAGGAATTAACTCTTGTGGTGATGGTAAAAAGTGATTTCATTTTTTCTCTTATATACGTGTATAATGTCCGACTATAATTGAAGATTCAGATTATAGTATTACTAGCTTATTATCCGACTATAATTGAAGATTCAGATTCCACTCATCTTGTGATTCACTAAAATTATGAAAAACTATAGGCCAAAAATGAAAAAGAACTAGATTCATGACACATATAGCGATACAGCTTGCCGTCTTTATGATTAATTTGTTCGCCATAGATGCTTAATATTGTTTTCGCCGGCAAAGAGAATCTTGTTGATTCCTGCATTGTTTATCTGAAGAGGTCTAAGGGGGCATATTTAACTCCAAAACTGTCCATGACCATTAGACCATCATAAAAGGGTGCCTAATTCTGTGTTAAATTGCTTTACTTCCTAGTTCATTAGTTGGCTATGGCAACCAGCAATGTAAAGCTTCTGGGAAGAAACGGATGTCCTTTTGTGAATCGGGTTCAAATGGCTCTAAGCTTGAAGTCCATCGACCATGAATTCATTGAAGAGGATCCGTTCAAGAAAAGTGAGCTTCTCCTCAAATCAAACCCTGTTAGTAAGAAAGTCCCAGTTCTCTTCCATGCGGAAAAGCCTATCTGTGAGTCTCTCCTCATCGTGCAATATATCGATGAAGCCTGGCCTAATAGTCCCTCCATTCTTCCTTCTGATCCTTATGAATGTGCCATTGCCCGGTTTTGGGCAGCCTATATTGATGAAAAAGTAAGTATTCATTATAAAAACAGCCTATTTTGCTCATTTTTCTTTTTTGTTTTTGCTATTTGAGTCCAAGTAGAGGTTTTTATCTTCATAACTTTCCTGCTGAAGCTACAAAAGATTTTGATGTGAAGTTGCAAGCAGGTCCTTTTTGAGTTCAGATGTATAGTTTTTTCCTATTCATGTTGATAATTATCTTGTCATCAGAGGTGGACCTATGCTATAGCAAGAGGGGTCATTGGCACCCGTAAAGTTCGGCAAAAATTCCATGTATACATGTATATGTTTTTAAAAAATAGTGATATATTAGCAGTGGTACCCTATATACAAAGCAGTTTTTGGTTGAATCCAAAAGTACACCGGCGATCTTCAAATCTTGGGTCCACGTCTGCTTGTCATCTAAATGATCAAGAAATTTGTATGCAGTGGTTTCCTTTAACAGCAGAGTATAGGAAGGCAGAGGGAGAAGAAGCAAAGGCAGCGGCGAGAGACAAAGTGGTCGAAGGGACATTGCTGCTAGAGGAAGCTTTTATCAGTTGTAGCAAAGCCAAATCTTTCTTTGGTGGAGATAGCATTGGTTACCTAGACATTGTTCTTGGCAGTTTATTGGGATGGCTTAAAGCTGAAGAGAATTTAACTTCCACAAAAATATTTGATGAAAACAAGATTCCTCAATTAGTGGCATGGACTGAAAGATTTTGTGCAAACAAAGCAGTAAAGGATTTCATACCAGAATCTGAGAAACTTGCAGAAGGTTTCAAGAAGTTTGAGAAACTAAAAGCTGCCTTAAACTCAAACTAAGGGTACTTTTAATGGAGTAGTATGTGTAGAAACTTGATCCTGCTTCTATGAATGTACTTGAATAACATAGCCAATTCAAAAGGCTTTACAAGATCTAATTCGACAAATTGGAAATGATTGTTACTCCTATGAATGGACTGAATAAGATTGTGTTTTAATCTTTTAGAACTGACGTGTAGAACAACTTGATCAAGCCCCAGAACAATATCTTGGTAATTTTATATTTACAAAGTACAAACACCAAACCATAGCAATAACATAAATATTTGATTATCATAGGATAAGATTAAAACAAAAAGTACTAAAATACTAACTTCATGGTAGCATTATGCTGGATGTGTAGGAGAAGGAAACCAAAAAAAAAAAAGGATGAAAGAAAAACTAAACTGATGTTACGGAAGGATGTAGTTTTTGAGTTTTATGGTCTATAAGATGCCTTTACAAAGAAAAAGATGCCAAAATCTTCATGGTATTCTAAGTCAAATTAAAAACCTAGTACCATATGTTGTTCTCAACTACATTGTTTATTTGGCAACAAGGACAATCTGGCATATTTTGCAAGATAGCTCTTATGATCAAGAATCATCAAATACTGAAGAATGGTCCCTCCATTACTCCCTCTGATCCCATAAATAGATGAAAAGGCAAGGACATGTTGTTTGGACTAGTACATAAGCTAGCGTCTATCGAAGTTTCCTTTTGTTTTCCCCTTTCATCTTCTTGAAATCATTGTTTATATTGGAATTTTCCTTTGAAGGAAAGGAAGCAAAGGGGATCACTGCTAGAGAAACTAAGTGAAGAGGATTTGCTGCTGGAGGAAGTTTTTATCAAGATCAGCAAAGGTAAACCTTTCTTATGTGGAGATAGCATTTGTTACCTTGGCATTATTCTAGGGAGTTTCCTGTGTTGGGTGAAAGCAGAAGACGTAATGGCTGAAATGAAGATACTAGACAAAACCAAGACGCCTAGCCTAGTAGAATGGTATGAGGAATTTTGCTCATACCATGTTTTAGAGGATATCAATCCAGACCTGAGAAACTTTTGGAAATGCACCTATGATATTTTACATCTGTAAAATGTAGTACTCTATTTCTCCAACAAGAACTAACTTAACAGACTGAAAAGTTAAACAAACCACACACCCTCCTCACATTTTGGCAGCATCCATGACCGTTATCTAAATCAATTTGAGATATTATTTGGATTATCTAATGGACGTTTCTGATTCCATGAAAAATCTAGAGTGTAGTATTGAATATCGTAGCCATTTTCAGTATCTTTATGTATCAGGTTGTGGAGATGTTGAGACCACGAGAAGCATAACGTGTATGATCCAAGCAATGTCACTAGTCCAATAAGACTTTTAACTTGAAGTTTGGTACCCTCGATTCCTTCTCTCTTTCCTTGGTGACTAGTGGTTTCCTATCTTGCATAGTATATCATACGAAGGCTGAGGAATCGAAAGAGGCAGCAATATAGAAAGCTGACGAAGTTTTGAGTTTATGGCCTATAAGATCCCTTTTACAAAGAAGAAGATGCCAAAAATGTTCTTGATATTTTACATCAATATGAAAACCTTGTACCACATGTTGTGCCAACCTACATTGTTTATTTGGTAGCAAGGACAGACCGGCATAATTTACTGGAAAGCACTTATGTGCAAAAGGCATCAAATGCTGACTGATATCTGTTATAAGAGTGATGTATTCTGCTCATTAGTCATTCCTTCAATATTAGTTGTTGAGGAAGCTAGCCATGACAGCAGGTAATGTAAAGCTACTAGGAGTATGGGCAAGCCCTTTCGTGAACCGGGTTGAAATAGCCCTCAAAATAAAGTCTATTGATCCTGTGTTTATACAAGAAACTTTGTTACCCAAAAGTGAGCTGCTCCTCAAATCCAACCCCGTTTACAAGAAAATCCCAGTCTTATTCCATAATGAAAAGCCTATCTGTGAGTCCCTTGTCATCCTTCAGTACATCGATGAAGCTTGGCCGGATGGTCCATCCATTCTTCCTTCTGATCCCTATGATCGTGCTATAGCACGGTTTTGGGCAGCCTATATTGATGAAAAGGTAAGACTTATTTTATACTTAATAGATATCACATCCTAAATTTAAAAACTTTTTGTTTGGACTTGTATTTAAACTCTATGATATTTCACTAATAATAATCACTGACTTTTACTAACTATAACAGTAACGACACTGAACTATTTCTTGTCATATTAAAGTAACTGAACTTTACCATACTCGAAAAGTTGTTTGGACTAATAGTTAAGTTCATCAAAGTTTGTTCTTGATTTCCTCCTTTCCGTTTCTTGATAATCAGTTTGTGTACTGGAATTCTCAATTAAACTCTAAGATTATGGTTCCAGTGGTTTCCAATGGCGCTGGAGTTTAGGAAAGCGGAAGGAAAGGAAGCGAAGGCAGCAGTGCTGGAGAAAATACCTGAAGGGAATTTGATGCTGGAGGAAGCTTTTATCAAGATCAGCAAAGGTAAACCTTTCTTTGGTGGCGATAGCATCGGTTACCTTGACATCGTTCTTGGAAGTTTACTAGGATGGGTGAAGGCACAAGAGATAATCCATGAAATGAAGATACTAGATGAAACCAAGATACCTAGCTTAGCAAAATGGGATGAGAGATTTTGCTCAGACAAAGTTGTAAAGGATTTCATTCCAGAGCCTGAGAAACTTGCAGAAGTCTATCGGAAGTATTATAATTTGAAGAAAGCTACTTCAAATTAATAATGTTGCTGATTTCTTTGCCTGTGCCTATCAAGTAAAGGGTATCTTAGGCCCCTCTATAGGAAGGGAGGATTTGGTCCTAGATCTTGTTTAAAATATGTGAGAATAAAAGAAGTTTGATCATATTAACGAATGGAACAAACACTCCTTGTTTGACATTCCTACATGTTGATCCACATTATAAATAAATGCTGCAGATCTGCCCTCTCTATTCGCACTCATGGCTGAACCTATATCCGAGCAACGTAGATTTTAGCTATGTCTCTTTATATTCAACAAGATGAAAGATGATATTTCTTGTAGTTAAAATCGCATCGTTGTATGTTATATCTGATGAAACCATATGCCATAGGCAAGCAATGCTGTGTGATCATGTCAAAGTCATCTTAGTACTAACCAGTCCAAATCAATTGCTTCCTTGTTTGCAAAACAATAAAAAAAGCCATATTAGTACTTATGCTAAGTTATTCGAATATGCCAAGTTAAACAAGTATTTAGCATTAGTTAAACCAACCTCAGCGTGAATTTCTATGTTGCCAAAGCATGTAAATACTTGATTAGCTGTTGCCTGTTAGCTTCAAGTAAATAAGTAATTATCAAGAACATTTAGTCATGGCAGCAAGTAATGTTAAGGTTCTAGGTATACAGGCAAGTCCAGTTGTGATTAGAGTTCTAATTGCTCTCAATGTTAAGTCTGTGGCCTATGAGTTTATTCAAGAGGATATGTCCAATAAAAGTGAACTTCTCCTTAAATCCAATCCTGTTCATAAGAAAATCCCAGTCCTCATTCACGGCGACAAGCCTATCTCTGAGTCCCTAGTCATCGTCCAATACATCGACGAGACGTGGACTAATGGCCCCTCCATTCTCCCTTCCAATCCCCATGACCGCGCCATTGCCAGGTTTTGGGCTGCCTACATTGATGAAAAGGTATTGGTTTCATTTACTGTTGCATTGGTTGAGAATCGTTTCATTGAAGCTAACAAAAGTTAATGAATAACTTTCAGTGGTTTCCTTTGATGTCGGAGCTCGGAAAAGCACAAGGAGATGAAGCAAAGGAAGAAGTGAAAGAGAAACTAAAAGAAGCACTGATGCCTTTAGAAGAAGCATTTGTTAAGTGTAGCAAAGGGAAAGCTTTCTTTGGTGGAGACAATATTGGTTATTTAGACATTGCTTTGGGTTGCATTTTGGGATGGATAAAGACAATAAGGTTGATTTTAGGAGTGGAAATATTCGATGTAGCGAAGACCCCTGGCTTGGTTGGATGGGCTGATAGGTTCTTGGCAGAGAAAACTGTTAAGGATGCCATTCTGGGACCAGAGAAACTTTTTGAAATCGCCAGGTTACGTCTGGCCAGAAGAGACGCTGCTAACGCAAACTAAGGCATGGTGTTCTTCATTTCTTGTTTCTTGCTGGTTTAATAAGGAATAAGGATTGCCTGTTGAATCCACCTTTGCTATAGACAATCTTTGCAGTATAAAACAGCATCTTTCTGCTGCTTCTTGCCTTTCATTTCTCTCCAACCCCCCCCCCCCCCCCCCCCCCGCGTAACTCTTGATGGTCAATAAAGAGGCTTGTTTACTTGGCTTGAAAGATCAAGTGTGTAAAACCATTGTGCTTTAACTTTTTGACAATTCTGTGAATACGCAAAGTTGCTAACATCCAATCGCAATCACAAACTAAAGAGAAAGTAAAACCTTGTCATCTGTTGATAATTGGCTGATAATGCCAAGAATCGAGTTAACTGTCTGGAAAGTTGAGTCCTCTTTGGCAACATATAAGAATCACCGAGGACTCGACAACACAAAAAACTACAGATCTATGATTGATGAGACCATAAATCTATATGAGGGCCTTACCTTGATTACATTGTTTACCTTGACATTGATATTGGGAGTTTACTGTGTTGGATTGAAGACAGAAGAGATAATGGCTAAAAAGAAGATACTAGACGAAACCAAGATGCCTAGCCTAGTTGAATGGTATGATAGTGATTTTGCTCAGACAAAGCAGTAAAGGATTTTACTTCAGAACCTGAGAAACTTGTGGAAATTTATATGAAGTATCAGGAGATGAAGAAAGCTACTTCAAACAAATAATTTTGCTGATTTCTTTGTTTGTGCTTATTAAGGAAAGTATGTCTTAGGCCCCTCAATAGGAATGGAGAATTTGGTCTATATCTTATTTAAAAGAATTAAGAATAAAAGAAGTTTGTTCTTATTAATGAGCTAAACAAACTATCCTTGTTTGGATTCCAAGATTTTGATCTACATTATACATATATGTTGCATATAGTTTTCTCATTTGAAGTGGAGCCTTGGCGCAACTGGTAAAGTCACAATCATGTGACCAGGAGGTCACGGGTTTGAGCGGTGGAAATAGCCTTAGGGTAAGACTGCGTACAGTAGACCCTTGTGGTCCGGTCCTTCCCTAGGTCCTGCGCATAGCGGGAGCTTAGTACCACCGGGCTGTCCTTTTTATAGCTTTTCTCATTTAAGAACTAAAATTACACTATCTAATAGCTTTACTAGGATCTATTCTTCCAATTGGACCACATATTTACTTTTGCGAGTACTTAATAGATTAAGAGGCAGAGAATAGAAAAGCACCTAAAAAATTGTGGTCTATGTAATATTCCTAGAAAGACTTGAATGAAATAATGTAATGAATGTCTCATCTTCTGCAACATGCAAGTAAATTATGCTTAAACTATCACCATGCTAGGTAGATCAATTGCAGATCAACTCAATCAGGCTCATTGAACTATGATTATCTGTGGGTTCAGAATATAATATTTGTTTCTATAGAAAAGCTCCATTCGCCTCCGGATATATCTCTAATTATAAGTTTGCTTCTATATACATGTATTCCATATGCCATATGCCTGCAATGTTGTGTGACCATTTCAAAGTCCTCTTAGTATTTTCTGAAACCAGTTCATCTTAGTATTCTACGTATGCTAAGTTATTAGTATATGCCAAGTTAAAAGATCAGTTAGCATTACCACTACACTAAGTTATCATTATATGCCAAGTTAACTACTATTATTTAACATTGAAAACACCACCATCAACGTGAATCGCAATGTTGCTCGTGCATATAAGTCTTTGATTAGCTGTATGTTTCATTAACATTTGCAGCCACCAAGTAAACTATCAAGAATAATTTAGTCATGGCAGCAAGTACAGTGAAGGTTCTAGGTACACAGGCAAGTCCATATGCAAATCGAGTTCAAATTGCCCTCAATATTAAGTCTGAGGACTATGAGTTTATTCAAGAGGACATGTCCTACAAAAGTGAGCTTCTTCTTAAATCCAACCCTGTTCATAAGAAAATCCCAGTCCTAATCCACGACGACAAGCCTATCTCTGAGTCCCTAGTCATCGTCCAATACATCGATGAGACATGGACTAATGGCCCCTCCATCCACACGACCGTGCTGTTGCCAGATTTTGGGCTGCGTACGTTGATGACAAGGTATTTGTTTCATCTACTGTTGTTTTTTTTTATCAAAAATAAATCTTTCTGTACTTTAATTCAGTGACATACGCCAATTTTTTTTCTTAAGTAGTGTCAACATTTTGTAATACACTATAACGATGTCATTATCACTTTAGTTTTTATGAAGGGCCTTTTGCCCATTGATTTAGTTGAATCTTATCCTAGAAGAGGTTTAGGGTCGATTCTGCATAATAATATCTTTCTTTTAACAAAAGCTGAAAATTTGAAAACACACATATACAGGTTAAGGTTTGTGTTAGAACCTCATCTGTGCAGCCCAACATGGAAATGGTCCAGAAGCATGGAAATGGCCCAACAATTGAGGACCCAGGCCCAACATTTGATTGGTCTTCCAATAGCTGTCAAATTGGAAACAAAATATAGTTGTTCCCATCCGGAAACCACTAGATAGTAGGCATGCTATTATGTAAATATAATAAGACATAGTTGTGTATATAAATATTGTATAAAGTTATACATAGTACATTAATTTGTTTGTATTCAATAGACAATAGGTAGTGGACATGTTGCTATGTTGGTATTAATACCAAAGTTTCAGAATGGTTGACACACAGAAAAAAAAAGGGGAATCTCCTAAAAATTTTGGTCTTTCAAATTCTTACATGGTATCAAAGCAGTAGCTCTAAAGTATCGATCCTTTAGTTTTTTTTTCTGTTCACTCTTATCTTCAATATCTTGTTCTTCAATGGGTTCTATTCTTGAAAC